GGCCTGTGAAAATTGACTCTCCGAGTTTTTTGCCAATAGGGACGCAGTCTTCTACGAGACGGGTATAATGAAGTTGGCATCATCTAAATCGGACAAATTTGCACAAAGTTACCATATTTTGAAAAATCAATATAAAACCGAACGAACTTTTTACTTGACGATAATATCACAAATTTATATCACAAACCTTTACATTTAAATTAACCAAACTAGCTGAGAAAAAGAAAATCCCCCTCATCCAGCGCGAAAATATATATATGAAATCGAAGGATAACTATGCGTATCTTCCACATATTGATTTTGTTGAAAACTTCTAAAAGCTTGAGAAATCTACGGAAAAATATTAGAAGTACTTAATTTTACAGCAAAGATGGTGCACAAGGGTGACATGTACCATCGGGGTAAAAATTGGACAATAGGCCTGAGGCTGAGGACTTTTAGGTGAAATCTCTTACCTCAGCAACTACTCAAACAATTTCAAATATGGTATATAATATTATTCTGACATCTTATTGTTACAGTTTGAAAGTGGTCGAAATCGGTCTACAAAAACACAATTTCAAATTCAACTAGATTTTCTTACAATACCATTATAAACCAAGCATTAATATAAGATATCATAATAAAACATTTCACAAGAATTGCATTCGGGGTATCTCTCATATGAAAAGGGTACATCTTTCCAAGACCGCATTTTCCGAATTTGAGAAACTCCGTGTCTATTAATCTATGAGATAGCTCAAACAAAATCAGAGTGGAGCTTTTTGTGCTAATAATGTGCCCTAGTGCTCGAAACGATTAAAATCGAGTCAATACTTCCCATAGTCCACCCATAATTAAAATAATGACTAAAAAAAGTGTTACGTTCCGTATACACTATCAGCGTGAAAATATACTATTTGATAATAAACTCATTCCTGGCCGGCCTAGCTGCGAAAGAACCAAAGCGGAGAGAGTGTCGAAAATACCAATTTGTAAATTAATATGCTGAAAATGTTGCGGACACTTTTATGAGTGCAAATAAAATTTAATGAATTTTAAGTGCAACAAAAATACCCGGGAGAACTTTCCACTATGGTCTTTCAATGTACTCTTTATATAGTGTAAAGTCAGTGCTTGAATGGTCATAGTTAATGATGTCTGCTCATCTATTTTTAAACCAATAAAAATTCATTTAAAAATGCAAAATATGCGAAGAAAACTATCTTAGTTAACTATTAAATCAATTTGCCTAAATGCCCACTCTGTGTTCGGAAAAATAAAGTGGATGGAAGGTGTCGCTTTCTGCAGCCAATCCGTTTCCCTTTTACAAATAAGTTTAACAAAAATATTAGTAAATTCAACTTTGTAGGATTACAGTATATTCATTTACACTTACATTTCTTCAACTGGGTGTGCTAGGAACGTGGGTCTTAATCAGCAAAATGTCGACGCAAAGAAGTAAATCAACAGATAAATATTTGCCTAACAGCGCAGGATAGCGTGGCTTCGTTAGCTTAAACGGCTTCGTAGGCGTCTGCGGGGCGAGCGCTAACACCGAACTCATTTGCATACCAAATATTATAACTTTTAGTTTCAGAGCTGTGTAAGCTCTTTCTTGATAATGCAGGGGCGATCAAAAATACCATTTTGCTACTGAACAGACACACTTATACGTACATATATATGAAAGAAGCATGGGCGATGAGCTTCTTAAGTTTCTTATATTAAATTAGATTCTGTATATTGCTATAAACGAATTTACTTCTACTGAAATAGAAATTTCCAAAAATCGCTCTCGATTTAAAGGTATTTGAAGGACTTTACTAGGGTACTTTTTATTGCACTGTCTCACATAAGTGGACTATGAACATTTTTGAAAAGCATTACATATCACAAAGTGAGTTTGTGTCCTGATGGGAAAAATAAGTCATGGGAAGTCTATCTCAAAGTAATCGGCAATCAAGTACACTCATCATATTCAACAAATTTAGCTCACAGCGAGTGAGAAAGGAGCGCAAAATGGGAACAAACGCCAATTTGAATGTCTTAAAGCCTCCAACTATGAAAACATTATCGGCCGTTAAAACAAATGTATTCTGTAGATGCATATCCGAAGTGTCTATAACGAAGTGAACAAACAGAACTCACTAAATTCACCCCAGGGGTGCTAAAGGGAGATGTTGATCGGCTTAGTCCGATATATCGCATACGAACAGATATACTCGTATTCGGTATGAAACCAAGCAGGTTAGATCAGCCCAATAATATTTAAATGGCGAGGACAAAGAAGGGGGGATTTAATATATTGTCGTGTATTTGCTGGTATTACACTGAATCCTCGTCAAGTTTTATTAAGAAAGCGCTAGTGTTAATATCGTTTACACGATATGAGTCCTTAAAAATATACTTTTGAACTGTCCCAAAAAGTGTACTATTTATTGATGTTCTTAAGACTAACTTGTTACATAGATCTAATTACTATTTATACTAACTATTGTCTTTACTTCATACTAGTTGATAGTTTGTTTACATACATACATATATCATATTGTTTGTTTAGATACTTTCCGTTTGTTCTAAGATAAGGGTGTTTTTATGTTTTTTGTTGAATGTTGTTTTGAAACATTCTGTTCATTCAAAGATAAGCTTGTTATACTCTCGCAACTTGTTGCTACAGAGTATAATAGTTTTGTTCACCTAATGGTTGTTTGTATCACCTAAAACTAATCGAGTTAGATATAGGGTTGTATATATATCATATAAATGATCAGGATGAAGACACGTGTTGAAATACGGTTGACCGTCCGTCCGTCCGTCCGTCTGTGCAAGATGTAACTTGAGTAAAAATTGAGATCTCTTTATGAAACTTGGTACACCTGTTTCTTGGTAGCATAAGACAGTTGGTATTGCAGATGGGCGTAATCGGACCACTGCCACGCCCACAAAACGCCATTAAGCAAAAACACATAAATTGCCATAACTAAACTCCACAACAAGATACAAGACTCTTATTTGGTATACAGGATCACATTAGATAGATGCTCCTCCCATCTGCAGTTTAAATTTTGTTTTTTTAAAGTGGGCGTGGTCCCTAATAAGTTTAATGTGCATATCTCCTAAACTGCTAAAGCTATAATAACAAAATTCACTGAGAATACATTTTTTCAGAATCTCTATCGACGGTGTGAAAATGGGTGAAATCGAGTGACAACCCCGCCCACTCCCCGTATAACGGTACTTTTAAATACTACTAAAAGCGCGATAAATCAAGCACTAAACACGCCAGAGACATTAAATTTTATCTCTGGGATGGTATGAGATGACTTTATAGGAACCGCGTTCAAAATTAATCAGTGGGCGTGCAACGCCCACTTTTAAAGGAAACCCCATATCTTGGGATCCGCTTCACCGATTTCAACGAAATTCGGTACATAATATTCTTCTCATATTTCTATGTTATAGTTCGAAAATGGGCGAAATCCGATTATAACCACGCCTATTCCCATATAACATCATTTTAAATTCCATCAGATGTTTTCACTTTCCAGTATGCAAATCAAGCAACAATGATTATACCGGCATAAACTTTGACCAAAAATTATCTAAATTGAAACAAAACTGTTCAAGCCCCTAAGTACTGAATATGTGGACCCCAGTGCCTATAGTTGACTTTTAACCGAAAATATCGGCCAACATAGAACAAGGCGACAATATCCACAAAGAAATCTAAAACGAGTATACTTGTACCATTTGACTTTGCGAGAGTATAAAATGTTCGGTTACATCCGAGCTTAGCTCTTCCTTACTTGTTTTTATATATTTTGCTTATATGAAGTTGTTTTTATGTTTATTTGTTTAGGATATTTTTTTGAGATAATGTTATAAGGAAAACGTTTCTTAACTCTAGCGTTGGCCGATATGTACAGCGAAAAAGCAATCAGGAAGACGAGCTGTGCGTTGTTTCCGCATGCAAATATATACTTTAAATAGCTGTTGCATCGGCACAAAACGGTTCCATATAGAGAGGAGAGGTATATAGTTCAAATCAGAAGAGTGATTTGAGAGATACAAGTTAGTTCAGAGTGGTCTATTCTTGAACTCAAACAAGTATAAACCCTAGCAACAAGCTCTACGTTTTTTTTCTGTAGAGTTGAATCGGAAATGTTGATTTTGAACTAAATGACTTTGTGGAAAGTGGACGTGGAATTTTACACATAATCAACAAAACCATGATGGCATAAGCAACAGCTTAAGGGGTACAACATTGAAGTGAAATTATAGAAATTTATTTATATATTTCTTTTCTGTGACCCTCTACGCCGAATTAATGCCTTGCAAAGTTTAGCACAATATGTGTTCGGGCATACCATAATTTTTTAAGGGTGGAGATAATTCGATACACTCCATTCTCTCAGAGTACCACAGAAGACGGACAGATAAACCGTCCGAAATCAATTCAGTTCTTTTAACTCTGTGCTCCATTTACTTAAAACCATTCATAAATATCTATTATTTCAGCATGTTATAAATAAATATGAACAATTTATAATCCTCTATAAAATATGTTGAGAGAGCGTGTATGCTTATAAAGTACTATATCTCAGAAATTACGAAATTTAAAATTAACAAACCATATATTTTGCAAACCTCACTTCTCTGTTTATCTAAGGTTTGCCAGTAAGAAGGGGTATGATTTTAGGTGGAATAGGAAATTGAGAAACATTATCCCCGCATCATTAGTTTGAGTAGTTTTCATCAAAAAGACGAAGAATCGACGTTTCTTAAAGATCAGAAGCTCTCGTGTCGTCAATTACACTATATCTTATCTTATAAAAAATTAATTCAAATCAAGTTCCGTCGATTTGCGAAGAAAAGCTAAGGCCACCTACGTACTATTTATCGTGAATTACTGATTTGTTAAGATGGTTTTACTATTTTTTATAAATATATGGGTTTCATGCCAGAATCAACACATTCTATTTACAAACAAATAAATTTAAAATTGTGTGTTTACTTACCAGCAACGCCTTGTAGAGCGGCAGCGTTTGTGGTCCGAGCAGGAATTTCACAAAATCAGTCTGTGTGCAGTTGAATTTCGAATTGTTTGGATGGCAAGGGTCTAATTCTTCGTCGTCGAAGTTACTGTAAAAAGTCTGTGTGCTGGTCACCCAACTATCGGCATCAGTGCTTGTATTCCTCGCATTCCCTTTAGCCACAGCTGTAGCGAAATCGAGTACCTCTTCATTTCTCCGCGCTCCGTCATCGACGGCGGTTGGTGTCGTTGAATTCGTGGCGTTAAGCCACCAATGATTCAGCAATAGTGATACATCGTGATATCCCACAATATTACTATTAGCATCAGTGGCAGCACTAGCGCGCAGCGTCGTTGCCGACGTCACTGATGGTGGGACGGGTATTGTGTTGACGGCGGAAGCTGTAGCATCGGCACTTGCATCGATTACTGTGGTTACTAATTGTTTGCCAAAGTCGTATGCAATTGTGCTTAGATTGGCGATTAACTCATTGAAAGCACTCTCACTGCCGTTATTCACGAAGCCGTCGAAAAAGCCAACGTCTGTACCGTTAGCGAAGTTTTCATCAAGGAATGCATTGCCAATCAGCTTATTGCTGTTGTTAAAGCTTTCATTGAGTAAATTATTGGCGAAACTATAGCTGCTAGCATTTGTATGAATGGTGGGGAGATCGGTGGTTATGTTTAGAGCGGGCGCTAGTAAATTCATTTCGGTCGATGTTTATATTATCATTTGTTTGGCAATTTGAACTACGGTTGGCATTTTCACCGTGTAAATTTTAACACTTATCCGTTAATCGAATAGAAAACACTTTGGAATATTAAATATTTTTTTGTTTATATTAACATAGTTTGATAAGTGTCTTAATTCACAAATGGTTTTTAAGATACGGGTATTTCAATTGGTTTTTTGTTGATGTAAGCACTGGAATCTATTGTTAAAAATCATTAGGTTTATAAGTTTTTTTTATTCGTAAATATGCAATTCATTTCGTGGATTTCATTAGAATTTCCGAAAACTTTACATTCATTTTCATTTTGTTAAATTCGAAGTATCATCACCCAATCTTAGATGTGTAGGTCAAGTGTGGAAGTTGGAAAAATTAAGTGCCAAGGTCCAAATAGTTGCTATTTCGGTTTCGTCACGTTCACGTTTTTACATGATAAAAGAACAACAACAAAAAAATGCAAATGACAGTTTCCTTTAAAGAGCTTAACAAAATTTGCCGATTAAATATAACTAGGGTCGCCTGTCCTACAGAAAACACAATTTATTAACAATGTGATTGAAGAATTTGAACAAAATTTTAACAAAATCTATAGAAAGTTGCTGATATTTTCGATCCAACCAATTACCTAAAATTGACATTAGAAAACAAATTTTCAAAAAATTAACTATTACACAATTCACTTCAAATTAATCTAAAATTTGCTAACTCACCAAAATAAAACGAATGATATCAAAGGTTATTTCCACTTCATTGTGTTCTTTTTACAAACAATACTTGAAATTTAAAGTGAGTTAAAAATGTAATTGTAACAGAATTCAGTGTTGCGACACGCAAAGTCCTAACACAATTAAAATTGGGAAAAAATATCGCAACCACAAATCCGCCGTACACGATGCACCGATATATGAATTTGCAACTTATACATAACAGCGACGAAATGTATTTCTGTAAGTGACTGTGTCAAATGTGACGCGCAAAGGAGAAACAACATAGACCAATGAAAACCCGCCACCGCGCTTGTAGCTGTTGTAGTCGCTAAATTTGTGCCAACGCATTTTTACCTGTGTTTTCGTTGACGTGCATGTTGTGCACTTCTGCATGTCTTATCCTTTCTAACGATATACATTTTATCCATATATGTTAACTGCAACACAGTCAAAAAGGGAATACAGCGTTTGTAAGCGTAATTATATAAAGATTGTAGAAAAATTTGATTGAACTTAATTTATCTAATGTAACATGCTGCTACAGAGTATAATAGTTTTGTTCAATGTTCGTATCCCCTAAAACTAATCGAGATAGATATCAAGATGACGAGACTTATTGACTTGCTGTCTGTCCATATGTCCGTCGATTCACGTTGTAACTTGAGTAAAATGTGAGATATATTGATGTAACTTGGTACTCGTATTTCTTGGCAAATAAGGGTGGTTGGTATTGCAGATAAGCGTAATCGGACAACCTTCACGTCCAAAAATTGCAAACGAGCGAAAACATATAAAGTGCTATAACTAAGCTCCAAATTAAGATGTAAAATCGTTAATTAATACAGGGGATTAGTAGTGAGGGAAATCTGTGTGTTAGAGAATTATAATAAATGGGCGTAGCTCAGCTATAATATTAATAAAATATATGCGTTTTTGAAGTTCTTTTCAGAATATCAGATGCGCATGCTAATAGCATTACAGTCGCCAAATTTCATGGAATTCCTAGTTAACGTCATTTTTTGAATTCTTCTAATGGAGAATAAGCAGAAAAAGTATCCGCCCATTGCTTATTACATCAGTTTTTTGTAGTTTCTACGCGTTTAAGACCTGATAATTTTTTGTGCGTTGTTGTCAATAATACAGATTTAGATAATCGAAGGAAAAATCTGTAATTTGTGAGTAAATTTTTCGAATTATTCAGCTTGAATCGAAATGAGTGCAAAAGGCAAATAAATAAATGTTGATGATCGGAAAATTATAAATATTAAAATTAAGGGAGACAGAACGGGGTCATCAGTGCGATACTCATCCAGGCTTTCAAAAAAACGGGAATTATTACTTCAACGCTTCGATCTGGAGGTCCAACTGATCGGGAAACACGCAAAGTTGTATCTCTTGTAAAGGTTAATCCGCGTTTAACCGCTTCCCAAATAGAAAAAGATGTAAAAATACGATTTAAAAAAATAATATCCAGCGACACAGCAAGAAAAATATTAAAACGGGTTGGATATCATGAGCGAGTGGCACGAAAAAAGCCATTAATTTCCTTAAAAAACCGTATGCAGCGCATTGCATTCGCAAACGAACATATAACCAAGCCTATATCTTTCTGGGAATCAGTTTTATGGTCGGATAAAACCAAATATAGTATATTTGAAAATAAAGGAAGACAGGTGGTGTGGCGAAAAACTGGTACGGCCTTTGAAGCGCGAAATCTTACTTCAACCGTAAACCATGGTGGGGGTGGAGTTCAATTGAGGGGGTGTATGGCAACAAGTGGAGTTGGCATTGACTTTATCGAAAATATAATGAATAAATTTGTTTATCTAAATATTTTAAAACGACAAATGAAGCAAAATGCTGACAAATTAGGAATACCAAACGTGTTTTGTTTTCAAGAAGATAATGACGCTAAGCATACAGCGGAGCTTGTTCGCCTTTGGCTTCTTTACAATGCTACAAAACAGCTACATTCACCTCCACAATCACCTGACCTTAATCCAATTGAGCATTTATGGGCTCTATTGGAGCGCAGAGTTCGCCTAATGCCTAATCGTCTAGCAGAAGCTCTACAAAAGCTGTATTAACGAGACTTGCTGAGGATAGTTCCCTTCAGCATGTCCTTAATCGCTCTGAAAATAGGTGAAATCGGATAGTAACCACGCCCACTCGCCATATATCGGTTATGTTAAAAACTACTAAATGTGCGATAATGAAGTATTTATACCAGAAGTATTAAATTTTACATGCTCTATGGCACAAAAGCTTAAAGGCCGTGACAAAATTGGACAATGACGGTGGCACCGCCCATTTTCCAGTACACACATCAAGCTACAATAAATATATCGGGATACAACTTTACGGATATAGTATCTTTAAAGTTTACATTGTCTGAATGACTAAACTTTTCAAAACTGGACTGTAACTGTTTAAGTCCCAGAGAATATGGCTAACTTTTTTAAGAAAATATTTGTAAAACATATTACAGAAACTCACAGAAAATATTTTCCTGATAATAGTATGCCTATCATTTTGAATTGGGTAGAATCGGGTCACTATTTCCTTTAGCCAGCATGTACTTAATATAAAGATTTTCGACCATCCAGTTTACTTTATACCGCATGTATCGGTTAATATAATATATTAGTTATCTCAATGAAACTCCAATTAAATCTGTACTCAATAACAGTGGATATTGGTACTTAAAATAGATAAAATCGGTTGAAAATTTGCCCTAGTTTCCATATAGGTAATAGAAGAATTTTAAACTTCTGGTTGGCTTTATACTGACATATCGGTCAATATGTATGTAATATATCTAAAGACTACTAAGTGAAAATATAACACTGAATATACTAAAGTTTAATTACGAAAATGTGTAAAATCGGTCCACGAATTACCCCAGCCCCCATATACTCTCTATATTGATTTGGGATTTCTAGTAGACTTCGTGCCCAATATGTCGATTAGTGACTGAATTATCCTACATCGAAACAATTTCTTGAGTATACTTTATTAATGGCAAAGGGTATTACCAATCGAGATCTTCTATTAGTCCCAATATACGCAGAGTAGAAATGAAATTGGTCTAGACGTTGGTCTTAGTCGCATATCCCTAATGATTTTCGATCCTCTGGTTGATATTTTCTTAGACACCCAATATATTAAATTTCGGGTTTTCGGTTGATTTTTTATCACATGTATGTATGTATCTTATTTTAGTTATTTATCTTGATTTTAATATAAATATTTCGCGATTCGAATATGTAACCGACTCGAGAGCAAGTCCAACCTGAAGGAAAAGGAGGTGAAACGGTGGGCTTGGGCCAGAGAAGAGGTGAAAAACGGCCGGGCACACTTTGCATCTCGCTGAAAAGAGGCAGCGGTCGACAGATAGCGATCCGAAGGCGCCTTTGAAAAACGATTAACCGACAACATCGATGGCAGCCGCAGTAGCCAATGAGATTGCAAAACGGTATTTGATCAGTCATCAGATGTCACAGGAGCGGAGGGAAATAGTGGAGATGAAGGTAAAGTTCGATGGAATGAATGCTCACTCCTGTTTCGCAGCAAACTGCAGGAAATGTCAAGAGCAAGGCATCAGGGAAGCAATGGAGCATCTCTTGAGAACTTGTCCTGCACTAGCGAGGCAACGCTTTAAACAATTGGTGGCCCTCGGTACGAAACACTGGAAGATGTGTCGATAGTGAAGACGCAATGGCACTCCATCTGGTATCGCTAATAATCAAAACTGGTTCATGCGTAGCTCACGAGCCTACCAGGCTAACATAACCTTAGTTTTGCAACACCTGAAGATATTTCCCGGTCTTTATTTTTTCGGAATTGCGAAAGTATAAAATACTCGGTTACACCCGAACTTAACTCTTCCTTACTTGTACCTACATGAAATTGATAAAATAAATGAAATACTGCAATATAGACATTGAATGGAAGGTGTTTGATGGATTTAGAAATATTTGCAATAAGGTCTGTTAATTGTCGCACTTCAGTGATCACTAGCCACACTTTTATCCAAAATTGCAAGGCTAGATTGTTTTACCAAAATATCTTTAATAATATACTTGTAATTATTAAATTTTTATGGCTCGGTTTCACAATTACTCTAACTTATTATTATTTACGATTCACTTGTTCCAATTTCTGTTCGATTTCACAGCCACACTTCTTTAACACTCCAAAAGCACTAAGAAGCACTTTCTAATGGCTCATCAATCTTTAATACACTTGAAATTTCAAAAGAATTAGCTGAAATTGGACCAAACAAATCACTTGCTTGACTTCTTACATACACACACGCTATGCATTTGAGCGTTTAGCTTTTGACCCGCTGACAATTCTCTCACGAAATGTGATCATTAAGTCCGTAATGGATAATTGAGCTGTTCACACTTTTTTTCCGAATATTTATAAAAATTAATTAAACACGCGAAATCTTCGGCATTTTTGTAGAATTCATTAATTGTTGAATGTAGA